GCTAAGGTGCTCACGTACACCTGGATAGAGAGTGTCTTTCCCGGCGGTCTTGTCCCTTAGTGATGAGGCAGAGGAGGGGAAGACTTTGGAAAGTACCGTGAAGGGTGAGTTCATGTTGAATGCTATCTCACGTCAATACTGCACAACAAAACCCAAGAAGTCTGCGTATGCAACGAAGCTAAGAACAATGATTCATTCCTCTATATTGGAAGAGATTGTTTTTTGTTTCCATGTCTTGAATCCTTAGCAAACTTTTTCTGCCCCCTCCATTATCAAGAGGAGTGTGTGAGAAAGATGGGTTGGCCACCCTTAAGTCATTTACAAACTTTACACTGGACTCTGTACAAGATTTTTTTTGATAAACTATTTACATTTTCAGACTTTCAAACATATTCAAAGCAGCAATAGACACTAGGTTTTTTTTATGTTTTGTTTTTGTTTGTTTCTAATTGCCCAAATAGTTACCAGCCACGGGCCACGTAGGTACCTGCTCGATACTGGAGAGTTTCTACAAAGACAATCTGCAAGTTACAATTTGCTGGAGGGTGTCTTAAATGCCCTTAGCATTTCTGGGCCACACCCACAAAGTTGCTATGGGAACCAAAGCACTGTACCTTGACAACAGGCGTTGCAAGATGTCCCAACAGCCCAGGACACAAACTTTACCATTTGAAACAGCAGCCAGCATGTCAGTCCAGCATGTCAGTGAATTGTGCTGATTAAATTAACATAGAATACAATCTCACGATATACATCACAAACAAATTACAATGTCAGGAAACTAAAAAAAAAAAGAGTTACAGTAAGATAAGTTATGTAGTAACAGCTTATAAGCTTGTCTAAGGTAATAAAGAATTTACATGGCAAATACAAAAATGAATGAACACAAAAATGCTAGGCATTCTAATTTGCTACAAGCTGGAGAAGGCTACAATAAAGACTGCTTTCTGTCAAGAAAGCAAAGCAACGCATGACAAAGGGAGATGACAAACGGAGCCCGCAGACAGTTAAATATTTGCACATTCCCCAAACTCCAAGAGCACTAGCATGGAGGCCTTTCATGCCTGTGGTTCTCCAGGAAAAGGAAACTACTGAGCACGACCCGGAGCAAGACGTGTCACGGAGTGGCCCTCAAGCCTCCGTGATTGCCACAGACTAAGCATGACCTTTCTGCCCTTCACACCCCACCCCCCCCACGTCGCCCTTGCCCCTCAGGTATCAGCCATCTGAATATTGATGGAAAGCAGTCTGTCCCCAAAGGAGAAGATGGGATGAGGAAGAAGGAAATGTGTCTGCACATCCGTATGTCTCCGCGACACGCGCACAGGGCACATTTGTCGGAGAGGCATCGCAGAGAGAAGGGAATCGGCAGGAGTCACAGATCAAAGTTGTTTATTAAGGAAGAAAACATGTCAGGGGCAGGTGGCTTAAGGAAATGATGCCGGTGCTTTTGCAAAGGGACAAATGAGGTCATACAATATGCTATACTCCGAGAAGGGACCGGGCAGTGCCAACTCAATCTGTAGACACACAGGTACAAAACCAGGCAGGGCTACAGCAACCAGTCTTGTCGTTGTTCTCACTAAAAAGGAAGATCCAGTAACGAGTTCAATACATTCCTCTAGCGGCATGTCTTTGCGACTGTTAGCACGCGGTGGTACCGGACTTCACACATGGTTGGCAACTACGAAGCCATCCTTCCTTCCTGTCTTAAACGAGTACATGGACACGGAGCAACCTCGGCCTAGCTGGTCTAGTGACCACGCTGCTTTTCTGCTAGAAGCAGGAGGACTTCCCCAGGGTGTGCTCCAAAAAAGCCGCCTGGCTGCAGAAGGAAAAGTAAGCAGCCTTGAATTTCAGGTGGAGGGTGACCACACCCTTTCCCAACACCCCAGATTCCCAGGGGGCTAATATTCAGAGAGAGGCCGGCCATGGAGAAGCTCCACTGCACTGTGACCCAACCCGTGCATTTAGGACTTGGCCTAGGAGTTGGCGTCAGGGGCCTGGCAAAACACTTCAGTCCTAGTGTCAAATACCCACAGAAGGAAACGGATGGGCACTTGGAAGCTTGAGCTGGAAGCCGGGGAAAACACCACAGCCCTGGGACCTTTCTGGAAGAGATGCTGCATCACACCTGCCAATGATACTGAGGAATTGCCTGCTCCGCTGCTCATGTCCGCAGATGGGTTGACTACCTTTTCCTTTCTCTTCCTTTCTATTCTATACGGCCCTTTAGATTTTTTTTAAGGGGGAGATTGTCAGTGTCCCTATTTGAGAAGGAAAAAACATCCGAATCCTGTGGCTTCTTTAACAAAATGAAGATTCTTTTTCTCTTTGAAAAAAGCTTACATTCTTTAACATCATTGGCATGGTGGGGCGTGAATAGCCAACCTCAGAGGTGGAGTTTTGACTCTGTCATGGCCATTCCTGCTTCTCACTATTAAATGGTCAGAGAGCTATTTTATATATTTTAGATGGTTTTGAAAATCAGATGGATTCTCTCCCAGCTGTACTGGCAATTTAGAATATTCCATTCATCAAATTCCTAAGAGGAGAAAAGAAAGGAAAAGTCAATCTGTGGACAGTGGGTCCTGGACTCCATGAGAACCCGAGGACAGGTTTTTGCTGCCCGTCTTCTGGGCCAGCACTGCTCTCTGACTGCGGCTGAGGAGTCACTGCCCCTGCTGAGTGAGGTACAGTGCCTTTTCAGCTTTTTTGTCTGGACCAACACATGTGGATAGAGAACAAAAGGAAATAACTTATACCTCACTACGCATCCAAGAACCAAAAATAAAATTCTATGACTATGTTATATTTACACAATTAAAAAAATCGAAAATGAGATGGTAAAGTCATAAAAAAACCCAACCAACAACTTTGTTTTAAGCCCCAATTAAAATCAAACAAAGTGAGCCCTATGATTGTCATTCTCAATTTCCACGGATATTAGAGCCAAAGTTGGCTAATAAATAAAATAAACTTTGTATGCACCGAATTTAGATTCAAATACAGCCTCATCATTCGGTCAATGAGAGAGACGCTTACAATCAGATCATTCCTGTATAGCCTTTCATTTTGAGAGCATGGCTAAACGTAGCTGAGCCCCAGTGTACCGAGGCAGAGTTGGAGCTAAAACAAAGTGTTCATACACACATGTATTTTGCATAAATAAATGAAATAACAAGACATAAAAATGACTCAAGTCCGGCAACTGTGAGGCAAGCCCACACGAGTCCAAACAGAAGACTGTTGTTCATGCAGTTTTCGTACGACAGTTTCACATTAGTCAGAAGTGATAAAAATACCATTTACATCCAGTGCTTATAACACTTACGAAACAACATCTGTGAGTGTGTGTGGTTTTTTTTCTTTTCTTTCTTTTTTTTAACTATAAGCAAAATCAAGTTTCAGTCCTAAAGAACCGTCCTTTGTTCTCCACCAGCCCCGGATATGATTTTGGCATGGTCGTAAAAGCAAGCAGAATTAACCTCCTATTCTCAATGTTTGCCTTTGTGCAAAGTGAGTTACATACAACACACTGCTAGCCATACAGCGCTCTGCCTAGACACTGAAAGGAAAGCAGAGAGAGCAGGAGCGGAGGAGCAGGAGAGAAGGTGAGAATGCTCCGAGGAGGAGAGGTATATAATGCGAGAACCAGTAAAACAATAATAAATACTCATTTTCATTTTAGAAAAAAATGACCTCCTCCTCATTCAAAATAAACATACAAAAACAAGGTTCCAATTCCCAACCAATATTAAGAACACAACATTTCTATCAGTACCTTGATCAGCTTATAGAGAGCACTCCCAGCTAATGGCATCGCGTAATAGCTGGGCTGGACCTATTTATTGCTATTAGGGATGGCCTTGAGCACTCTTTAAATAAATATGTAGGTACACTATTTTCTTCCAAGTGGCAAAATGGCTCAAGAAATCCGACAGGACCATTCCTATGTCCTGGTGATCAGATTCCAGGGTACCCCATGAGGCGAAAGGTTTCCCATCGGCCCACTGGGCAGGGAGCCTCCCATGGGCAATCAGTCCTGGCTTTAGGAAGGTCAGAATGGCACAGCCAAGCTCCCTGTAGTTAGATGAGGAATGAATCCTTGCTGCTTCCCAGCACATCAGCACAGCTCCAGGGACAGGGCTGTGACCCAGATGCAGACACAGTCTTGCTCACAGGTAGCCATACCCTCCACCCATCCACACGCTCAGGGAGTCAGTCAGATGGGCTCTTCTGCGGCCCTAGGAGATATGTTCCCCAGCATTACAAGTAGGAGCATCCCCGATGGGAATGCATCCCGCCCCGCCCCCCTCCTCCTTCCTTAAAGTTGTCTCTCATTCTCACCACCACTCGCCTCTGTCTTTGCGCTAAGGCTGCCCTGGGTGGGTGGGGGCTGCTCTTTTTAGGCTGGGGCTTTTGCAAAGAACTCCCAGACTTGCCAGCTGGGACAAGGCAGCTCACAGTTAAGCATTCACCCAACAGCAGCCTCCACAGCATCTCCTGCATGGCCTGGAAGCCCTGGGCTCCCCACCTGGCAGTCCCCTCTGTTGGCCTTCACAGCTGAACTGAACTTGGGGAAACCCCACCCAAGCTGCCCTGATCACATGCTGCTGAACGGAATCGGGGAAATTCTGGCCAAAGATCAGAGGTCACAGCGCACCTCAAGGGCATGCCCATCATTGAAATGTAAGCTTATACACCTATATCCAAATACACATCCCTGTAGCCAGATAGACACTCACGTTTCAAAACAACAATATAGGTATTTAATAGTATCTTGTTTCAGAAATGCTTCCAGAAGCTCTGGGGACATAAAATTACTATGTACATCTTTTGTATCTAGCAGGAGAAGGAGGTCAAAAAGGCTGGAAAAGTTCTGGGAAGGAGGGTGAAAAAACAAGAATTATTAAATTAATGCCACCAACAATATTTTTTTTAAAAAAATAAATAGTAAGTGGACCCTTGACATTCTGGAATGAATAAATTATTTAAGAGAAAAAAATGTGTTTAAGACTGAATGTCAGGGCTAAAGGCCAAGGGACAGTGGGTGTAGGGAGAGGCGGCCTCAGGCGGAAAAGGCCACGGGGAGGGAGAAGGAGGGGGCGCGGTCTCTGGTGTGGGGACCCCTCTGGGGTGCAGACGTCATACCACGTCGCACCGGATGGCACGTCATGAGGCAAACACGATTGAGTACATGCACTGTGGCAACCTTGTTCGTTCCTTACAACAGCTCGTCTCCAGATTCCTGAGTACTTTACCATTTGCTGGGGGAAATAAACATAAAAGGTATGGTTCGCGATTTCATTTTAAGATGCCAAAGATTGTCTAAGACTTTGCAGTGTCTCCTTTAAGACTTTCAAAATGTTTAAGATTCAAAAGTTATGAAAAAGTTTGGCACATTCAAAGTTGAACTCTACATATGGAAAAATGGAATTCCGAAGCCTTTTGAATATGCTCTCCATGCAGCTGCGCACGCCGTGGACCGGTTCTGTTTCACAATATCGGAAATCCTCAGTTGTTGGCTAAAATAATTCAGAATAAAAACACATTCACAACCTGTAGGCCGGCACAGCATACCTGAGTGAGAATGTTTTACCCCATCTAAAACAGTAACTTAAACCTTTATCAACATCCAAAAGGAAAAAAAAAAGTAAGACAAAATATAAGACTTTTAAGACAGCTATGGGTTGAGATAAGTTTTCAAGTCCTGGTGTCTCATATTTAATATGTCTTCACCTAAATTAAAAAAAAAAAGAATAACAACAACAACGACCCCCCCAAAAAACAAAAACAAAACTCAAGTTCATGAAAAATCAGGGAAAACTTAATCTGTCTCACACGTTACGAAACAATTAAGACCATTCTGCTGATGTCATTGGGGAGCCACAAATGCATGCGGGCTCTTTAAGAACTTTTGTTGGGGGAGGGAGGATGAGATGTCCGAGTATTTTAATTCGGCAAACCACCACCTCAGTTGGCACCGACGGACTCCGGGGCTTCGTTGTCACTGCTGTAGTCTGATTTGGGGTCATCTTCATAGTCGTCATATATTTCCATCGCATCTTCTCCGTTAGTCATTTCATTTCCAGCCAGGCTTCCGCTGTCTGTCTTCATTCCATAAGTGCTCGGGATGACTGGCAGGCTGGGCTCTGGGCTGGCCGAGGTGCTAGAGCAGTCGGATGTCATCTGAGGTGATGGTGTGGCCGTTGCCATAGTAATAGCACCAGGATACACAACACCGGTTCCTGTGGTGATTGGAATCTGAGGCTGTTGCCTGTGTAGATGAAAAATAAAGAAAAGGAATAAAACAATGGAGAAATCTCCACCTGTCTCCATATTCTTCTCTGTAGCATCGGAAGTCACCCCCCACACTTCCCCAAGTGGATTCCCCTTTCAAAGTCTAAGCAAATGACAAGATAGGAGGGAGGTGCTTCCTGGGAAAATCCTGCAAACCGGTTCCCTTATGCTGTCTGTGGGTAGTGGTTAAGTAACAGGAAGGGCCAACTCACTAATGGTTGGGGACAGAAAAGTGGGTTTCTTTTTAATATTGAAAGTATGGCAGATAAACATCAACTTAGTAACATAAGTCAATATTTGGTATTTGAGGGAAAATGTAGTTAATTCTACAAAGGTGGGATGTTATTTTATTTTAAGAACTCCCAGGACCTTTACATGACCGTGAGGTGAAACACAGCACAACGGCACAGTTTAACACGCTGTGTCACCTTCAGGGTGGTTTGAGAATCGAAGAGAGGGGAGGATAAAGATGCATGGCTTGTCCCTCCCTAACAGTTCCCAAGCAGGTCCCTAAGAGTCAGATTTAGTAAAGCATATATATGTGACACCAGTGCAAACGATGGTGTTTACAGGGGAACTTGTAGAGCAGCTCTCTGCTGCTCTTTCCCGAACTAAGCCAGGGTCATCTTGGCTACTGTTGCTCCTGGCCTTGGATTGAAGCAGTCCGAGTCAAAACCAGCGAGCGCTCTGCAGCTTAACTGGTTGACAGACACGTTGCCTCATCCCAGCTTCTAGCAGGTGCCAAGGCCCAGTCACACCAGAACATTCCTTCATCCTGCTACTCTAGTTCAAGTAAGCGACTAGCCCCTGTGTGAAGGTCATTTGCTTCCTCTGTGGGGAACTGGTTACTCTTACCTTAGAGACTACGACTGAAACAATATACTCTTGGATACACGATTTACTAACTTTATTAGTTTATATACAGAAATTGAAATTAGTGTTTAAATGTCAGTGTAACTAGCCTTTCTGAGTATCCAAACAAAAAAGCCAAAAAAATTCCTCAATGCCATCAAGTCAATGCTGACTCATGGCAACCCCCCTGTACAGGGTTTCCAAGACTGTAACTATTTACGACGGGAGTAGAAAAACTAGTCTTTCTCCCTGGGAGGCGCTGGTGGTTTCGAACTGGCCACCATGCAATAGCAGCCTAATTCATAACCACTACTCTAGCAGGGCTACTATTTCTGAGTATCAGTTTCCTTAAATTAATAGAGTTGGGGTCAGGGACATCCTGGTAACTTCTTTTGGTTCTTATAGCTTCCGTTTAACCACAACTTGGAGGATTCTTTTTGACTCAATGCATTATTGTCAAAACCTTCCCATCCACTTCACTCTAACAAGCCAGTTCCCTGAACCGAGAGATGCGGTTCGTTACACATGGCCAGAAGCAGCATGATGCTCTCGCCAAGTCATGCATGCCCTCAAGCCTGGCAGAAGAGGAAAAGGAACTGTCCTACAACCACGGTGTGAAATACGTGATCATGCTATCTTTAACGACCTCCTTCAATCACTGACAGAGTCCTGGGGGGCACTACGGGGAAGGCTTGGACTCGCTAGCCACAGGGTTGGCTGTTCAAACTCAACAGCTGCTGCCCTGCAGGATGACGAGGCTGTCTGCTCCTACAAAGATAGACAGCCTCGGGAACCCTACACAGGGTCACTATGAGTCAGAATCAGTTCAATGACAGTGGCTGGATTCTGAGTTTTTTTAATCCTTAAAACAAACCCAAGAGACTCATGGTGATATCCCAGAACAGAATTGCCCCAGTTTTCTTAGATACAATCATCTCAAAAGCAGTTTTCCAAGGTGTTCTATAGCAGAGCTAAAAGGTGGGTGTAGTGGGTAGATTTTTTTATCTCAACTTGTACCTGGGTGGAGTCCAAACTATCAATTGGGTCCCAGCCTGCTGATACCTCTTTGGGGGTGTGGCCTTTTAATAAGAGTATTACTGAGAAGCTCTCTCTCTCTCTCTCTCTCTCTCTCTCTCTCTCTCTCTTGCGCTTTGCCTAATTCTTTTCTTGGATTCTGTGTCTGCCTCCAGGAGTGTCCCCACATGGTCCGTGGACCCTGAAAGCTATAAGGGCCCTGCCATCCTCCCATCGACCTTGGATCCACTTGACCCTGCATCCACCAGCCTGTGATCTCCTGGCTTCCTGTTTCCCTTTTCTGTGTCATCTGCCCATGTGAGCTTGAACAGGGCTCTCAACAGCCCAGCCCAACACAGTGGCTATAAACCACCAACACTGAAATAAGTGGCTGACTGCAAACCACTAGGGAGGCACAGTATTGGTTCCTAAACCTTTGACCAACATGCATATGCAGGTTATTAATATATAATACCTTATTTAATTAACATGGTAACTCAATGAATTTCAGGTGAAAAGGGCCTTACTTAGGGCCACACATTTACTAACCAGCGAAGCCCAAATCTACATGACTGTAGATCATGTCACTCAGATTCCATAGCTACTTCCCTAGCCCTGATTTCCATGAGGCTTGTGAACACCCAGTATTTATTAAGCACCAGATACTGATTTTCATGTGATTAGTTTTAACTACCTGATGATCAGACAATAGAGGAATTTAATCTGTGTGGTTGTTGTTATTTGTTGCCATTGAGTCGGTTCTGACAAACGGTGGCCTTGTGTAGAACTATTCCAGAGGGGTTTCAGAGCCGTGACCTTTTGGAAGCAGGTCACCATGCCTGGTTTGTAAGGTGCTTCCCAGTGGGTTTGAACCACTAACCTTTAGGCTAATAGTCAGGTGCTTAAGTGTTTGTACCACCCAGGAATTCCTAAATCTCTATGCAGAAATATGCTATAAAATACTGGTCTCTCCATCATAGAATCAATTTCTAAACACACTGTGTTTCTTGCTTCCTCAATTTTGAGCAAATGAACACAAATTATATTTCATGTTAACCTGCCCACGGCAGTGAATGCCTCATTACATTTTTTTAACTGAATTTGCAGGGTGTAGAGTAAAACTTTCTACAGCAACATCAGCCTATTCGATGGATTTCATCATCTTGGCGAGCCTAGTCAGTGAGAGAAGCCACAGAGTCTCAAAAGGCACATTTTTTTGTGTGTGTGCAGAGAATAGATGGTCATTTGCGGCAGCAGTTTAAAACAATCAAGATTTGTATAACTGTATGTCAAGCGGTCTAATAAAAATATTGAATCAAGCAACTGTCCCACGTGAGGGACTACACTTGTATGCTTCCACATTGGTTCCTTGAATCCACACAAAATGCCTGAGGGGGGCATCATGTTCTTTGACAGACATGGGTTCTGAGAGTTCAAGCTACTTATCAAAGGCCAGAAAAGGACCACCCACAGGAATGGACATAATTTTGTGATTTCAAGTTCAGTGGTCTCTCTCCCTATAGGAAAACTGTCTGCTTGGGCTAATAATTAATTACAATGGATAGTCCGTGACCCACTCGCTCACCACATCTTCATTCAACACCCAGGATGCTATGAGAAGGGCAATTTAAATAAAAATCCTCTAAGTTCTAAGCTCTACATGGTTAGCAATACCTAGACATTAAGTGAATAATGGAATGGTAAAAGTGAGTCTACTGGCATAGAAAGCACCTACCTCTACAATGTACTTTCGGAATTGAGACAAAACAAATGTGCTGTGGATAGTGGACAGACAAGGTTGCTTCAGACACTTAAACCAGCACTCACATCTCAAGTGTCCATGACACAGAGCCAGCAGTTCTCCCCCACCTAGAATAAATGAAGCTAGTCCAGCCCTGGCAAGGGTACCACATTCAAAAAGGAACTGCTGACAATTGTGTGGTGTAGATCAGTGGTTCTCAACCTTCCTAATGCCGCAACCCTTTAATACAGTTCTTCATGTTATGGTGACCCTCAACCATAACATTATTTCTGTTGCTACTTCATCACTGTTAGTTTTGCTACTGTTATGAATTGGGCAACCCCTATGAAAGGGTTGTTCGACCCCCAAAGGGGTCGTGACCCACAGGTTGAGAACCACTGGTGTCGATGCGAAAGTGGGACCTGGGTCCTGTCAGAATTGATTTGTGCCTCCAGAAGGGCTCCTGCTTGTCTGTTGGTGTTCCATCCTGTGGTGGCTTGGATGTTCCTGGAATGTGGGAAAGCATGTCACAGAAATTTCAAATACTGTATGTATCACTGCCAGCGAGTCAATGCCAATTCATGGTAACCCTATGAGAAAGGGAAAAACCATCCCTGTGAGTTTCTGAGACTGTAATTCTTCATGAGAGTAGAACCCCCAGCCTTCTCCCTCAGAGCATGGCGAATATTCCCAGGGTCATACATGATGTACAGCTTGCAGTGGAGTTCCAAGACTAAGGCAGAGAAAGAAGGAAGATGCAGTGGCCTTCTTCTAAGAAGAAGAAGAAAAGGTGGGAGGGAGTGACAATGTTATGGATACCAGCAGAACATCGATACAGTACAGGAAGATGAGCCTCTCAGATTGGAAGGCACTCAAACAATGCGACTGCGGAGTGGGGCTTTCTGAAAGTTAACCTTACTGAAGCTTGTGGGACCTTCATTTACTTATGTGGCATGGCTCAAAATGAGAAGAAACAGATAAAATTAATCTACTAATAATCAAAACATCGACTGCATAAGGTATGAAATGAAAACTGGAAGTCATTCACATAAATTGGAATGCGTAAATATTGATGGTCTAAGAGTCAGAGAAATGAAGTGGGCTGGAACTGGCCATCTTAAATTGGACAGTGACATGTTCGACTACGTCAGGAATAAAAACCGGATTAGGAATGCCATGACTTTTCATCTTCTCATCTGTCTTGAAGAGCAATCCAGTATCAGTGATGGGACAATTGTGCTGATGGCTCAGGACTGGGTGGCATTTCGTTCTGCTGTCCAGACGGTCACGAGGAGTCAGCACTGCGCTGGCAGCCCCAACAACAGCCACCACCACAAAGACCAATTAAAGTGACGCTCACTCAAATTTGA